GGGAAGGGGAGGGAAGGGAAGGGAAGGAGAGAAGGGAAGGGGCAGGAAGGAAGGAAAGGAAGGGCAATAGCAATAGCACTTATATACCGCTTCACAGTGTTTTTCCAACCGGTTTACAGAGTCAGCCTCTGGCCCCCAACAATCTGGATCCTCATTTTTTCCTGACCTCGGAAGGACGGAAGGCTGAGTCAACCTTGAACCGGTCAGGATCGAACTTCCTGGCAGTGGGCAGAGTCTGCCTGTAATCCTGCATTCCAACCACAGCGCCACCAGGGCTCCTAGGGGTCCTTTAACCCTTGCGTGTAAAGTACAAGAACTTCAAAGTCTTTCCTTTAGTATCCCCCTTTTCTACTATCTTCAGTACCTCTCCTCTTCTTTGGTTGTTCGGGGGTGCTGGGCGATTCCGAAAAGGTCTCCTGGATGTGATGAACTTCCACGACTTCTGGGATGCCGTCCAGGGTGACCGACACGTGAGTGACAGGAGCAGCTTCCATGTCATCCTCGGCTTCAAACCCGTGGGCTTCGGGAAAAAACGACAGAAGTAACTAAACGTTTGCAAAGATTCTACTAGAGGTTATAACAACCAAGCGGCGGGATGTTTTGTTTTTTCATGGGCCAAGTCTCCCAAAACAGAGCAATGAAGGAAAATCATTGTATCCGATTGGATATAAAAAAAAAGTCAAAATAAATACAGGTAGTTCTTGACTTACAGCCACAACGGAGCACGAAATTTCAGTTGTTAAGTGAGAGGGTTCTTAAGTGAGTTGTGCTGTCAGCGTTCCACCAAACCTCCATTCCAGCCAATCTCTCCGAGACAGACATCTTCTCAAAAGTTCCTTTTTTATTTGGATACTAACTGCCACAAACTGGGGAATCCCGAATCTGAAAGTTCCGGGCTTCCTTGCAATCAGTAAAAACTACAAAATCCATCCCCGGCGCCCATCATCACATCACATGGCCCAATCACCATCCGTCCCAAGTTAAGACTTCCTCTCACTTCTGCGCAACACAACCTGACCTTGAATCAGAAAAAGAATGTTGTTATGTCTCACTAGATACACTCCAATGAATTCCTCCCCTCCCACTTTCCCAGGCTCAGATGTGGCAGCATGGAAGCATCTGAAACCAAAGCTGACATTTGCCCCCATTTTACAACTTTCTTCCCAGAATTGTTAACCAAATCATTGCAGCTGGCGAGTTAAGTTACACGGTTAAGGGATTGTGGCTTCTGTTGTGGTTCTCCGGCAGCAGATGCAGACGGCTGAGGTCTCGGAGAGCGAGGACTCCAATGAGGGGCCTGCGTGTGAGGCAGGGATGGGGGCCAGGACCATCAGAGTTGAGTGCTGCCTTCGGAGATTGTGGAGGCTGGCAGCAGAGAGGAAGAGGCCCCCCGAGGAGCCTGCGCCCAGTGTGTGTGCGCGCGCAGCGCTGCTCGAAGGAAAGAGCAGCTGCAGCAGCACGGGCGACTCGGGAGTAAGGCTGCAAGGTCATGGCCCCTCCCTTAAGGGATAAAAGCTAGCTGAGGAACCGGAGTTCTTTGCAGGAAGCAAAGAAGTTTTTGCACTCAAGCCTTGTGAACGTTCGGAGTATTTTGGTTGGTGTTTGGAGACTCTTTGTGTTTGAAATAGTTTTTGGCAACTTTATCTAGTGTTTTTGGCAGCCTTGCACAACCATGGTAAGGCTCGTTCTTATCAGAGGCAATTAGTTTGAAACAGCCTTTTAACCGGGAAGGAACAGAATTGGTAAAGAATCATTTGAAAGGTTGTGCTGTCACCTTTGTCTCGTGTTTGTTTCCTTGGAACTAGGTTTGGGTCAGAACCGCTTCCCCATGGATTTTGCTAGTGGAAAGGTCGCAAAAGAAGATCACATGACCTTGAGACACAGCAATGCTTGTAAGTATGAACCAGTTGCCAAGCGCCTGAATTTTGATCACGTGATCACGGGGCTGATACAAAGGTCTTAACTGTGAAAAACGCTCATAAGTCACCTTTTTCAGTGCCGTGGCAATTTAGAACAGTCACTAAATGAACGGTTGTAAGTCGAGGATTTCCTGTATTACTTTTATTTATGTCGTGCATATCTCATCTTTCCTTTGGGAGATCAAAGGATTCTTTTATCCTAAGAAATAGTTCTCTTGAGGGTGGATAGGGTATAGGAGACCCTGATGGGACAAAATTCCTAAGGGAACTCGACACCTGGATCATATTACCATATCTGGTGGACATGCGCAGAAGCTAAAAGATATTGGACAAAAGTACACACAAATGATAAAGCAACATATATATATTTAAAACCTGAAATATTCATTTTAAGGATGGTACCTGAGAGTTATAGCAAAGAAAAAGTAGATTTAATTATTCATGTATAAACTGCATGTCAGCTTTGGATGCCGTATTGCGATCCTATGCTCCCACGCTGCCACATCTGAGCCTGGGAAAGTGGGAGGGGGTGAATTTATTGGAGTATATCTAGTTAGACATAACAACATTCTTTTTCTGATTCAAGGTCAGGTTGTGTTGCGCCTAAGTGAGAGGAAGTCTTGACGAATGTATCTGACTCTTGACAAATGTATCTTTTCTTTTATGTATACTGACAATCACACTTGGCCAATCAAGAATTCTAATTCTAATTTGGGACGGATGGTGATTGGGCCATGTGATGTGATGATGGGCGCAGGGATGGATTTTGTAGTTTTTACTTATTGTAAGGAAGCCCGGAACTTTCAGATTCGAGACTCCACAGTTAGTGCCAGTTAGTGTCCAAATAAAAAAAGGAACCTTTGAGAGATGTCTGTCTCAGAGATATTGGCTGGAATGGAGTTGTGCTAGAATGCTGACACTGCAGCTAGAATTGTATTTGTTCAGAATTGGAAAAGCGAAACATTCCGGTAGAGGGAAATGTGATTAAGAAAATATTAGAATGTAGAGAGAGGAATTGATTAATATTGGCAATGACAGAAAAAGAAGAAACTGAATACTGTATGGGATGGGATCTATTTTATCAATGGTTGGAAAATAAATAAGTTAAAATTGAGTAGATGAATATATAGAGAAATGAGTTGTTATAAAGATAAAATATGTAAGCGACAATGGTTTATAAAGAAAATGTGTTACTGATATTTTGGCAAGGAAAGTATGTTAATTATAATTGCTAGCACAAGATCTATCCAGTCGACACACCGTTTAAATGAAAGATGGACTTGTTGTCAATATAAAATAAAAAAACTTAATAAAAAAAATTCCTAAGGGAACTCCGTGGCTAAGAAGGAACACTGAATTTAAATCTCCCTCATCGTAGTCCTACACGCAATTCTGATTTTCTAAGTCATTGTTGAAAAGTAACTTTCGTGTAACTTGTTTTTTATTCTTTGCTGCTTCAAAAAAGAGAAAATAAATTTAATTCCATGGGATACTCTGGCTGGCGTACGAAGGAAACAAAGGGCTGAACTCAAAACCTTATCATGCCCCCAATACATAATTTCTGAAGCGACTGATGCGTGTGAATATGTGCGGATTGGAACAAAAATAAAGATAAATGAATCAGTAATAATTTAGGCATGTAATTGCAAATGCAAAGAGGGAAAGGAGTTGGGGGGGAAAAAGCGTTTTATGAACATTAAATATTTGAACACGCTCCAGTCAATGCTATAAACATTTTCACATTTCATTAATTTAAATGGGAATCCAAGCTTAAGAAATTTAATTAATATAAATTAAGGGGGGGGGGACCCACACGCAGATGAAGAGCTTAATCTTGTTTTTCTTCCCCAGCTTTTACAACCATGGAAAAGGATATGCTTAGAAACCTGAAAAACATACCAACAAATGAATTTTCTTCCCCAGCTTTTACAAAAAGGCCATTCCAAACTTCTTCAGAGAATTTGCTTAAAAAGCAACGCTTTGTTGTTGTTCTTTTTTTCTTTCTTTCTTTCTTTTTTTTGCAACGTCTTTGCTCAACAGTTTTGCAAAACCACGCAGAATTTCTTATTTTATTTTCGGTCCTGGCTGAGGTGCTTGAGACTTACTTGATCTTTTCTCGTCCAACATTGGGCCCGGAGAATCCATATTGAGAAGCGCCTCGGCCGCTTCGATGGTTTGCATGGTCTCATCTCCATTGTGGCAGGATGCTTCCACTAACATTCAGGGAAATAGGAAGAGGCAGATAAAAGAGAGGTGAACGAATGGATTCCTCCCAAACAGACAGATAAGAGACAATACAAGATTGATCGTGGATGTCCTAGAATAGTGGTCGCCAACTGGTGGTCTGTGGCCCACTGGTGGTCCGCAGAGAAATGTCATCCCCAGAGCACCTCCCAAAGCAATTAATCCAGGCTGCTCGGGAACACGAGGCTGCGCCGCCCACATGGCCCGCGGGAACCCTCTCCGCCTGCTCACTCCTTACCAGGCAAACTTGCCTGCTAAGTTGCTATTTTTTCTTTTTCCCCCCACCATCCACTGTTCTGCTGTGCCGGGAGATTTAGATTAGCCAGAAAGCAGGAAATCGTTGCATTTCTTGCTTTCTAGCTAATCTTTAGATCTTCGACTCTGCTTTTAAGCAGAGCTGAACCTTCCTTAGGACTGAAGCTTCTATTTGTCAGTGCAGACTCAGGTAGCCGATGCCAGAAACATAGACCTCTGAATGAATCTGTGATTCTGTGAGCAACTCAATCTGCCTGCTTGCTTTGCCTGATTTTGGGTAAAAATTGCTCTTTTTTATATAAAAATATGTATCAATATTTACATAAATATTTATAATATTTACATATAAGCCATGCCCAGCCAGTCACATGACCACCAAGCCACACCCACAAATTAGGCCATGCCCACAGAACCGGTTAAGGAATTTGAATCCCACCCCTGCCTCTGTGTGTGTGTGTGTGTGTATGTGAAAGAGAGAGAGAGAGAGAGAGAGGGAGGGAGGGAGGGAGAGGTTAGATCAGATCTGTTAAGTTTTTAAGAAGAGATAGGACAACCATTTGACTGAAATGGGATAGGGTTTCCTGCCTGAGCAGGGGGTTGGACTTGAAGACCTCCAAGGTCCCTTCCAACTGTTATTCTATTCTAATTGTCAGAACCGAAGAAGCTTCTTGTCTTGTCTTTCTTTCAAAAAACACGATGGCAGCATCTTTTGAGTTTGCCTCTGTTCCACATCAGGGATCCCAGGGCACACAAAAGAGATTGTTCACGACTCCCAACCTCGTAGCTCAATTCGTGATTTTCAGACACCCCCCTTACCTTGTTCATATTATTCATACCTACTTCCATGTAACTCACTCCTGATGGTTAAATAACTTTATTTCTCTACTTGATTAACTGCATTGAGTGACCATTAGATCCTCAAAGACCAAATAATGTGGTACACTCAATTTACAGTGAGTTAATATAAAAGCTAATGCGCTGTATATAGAAATTCAAAGGTCCTTCAGTTGAATTTCCAGGTGAGGTAGTCCTCAACTTACAACCATCAATTTAGTGACCATGTGATGACCCAGGGTGGGATACAAAATAGACACAGTCACAAAAACAGGTGAAGCCCCTTTTATTCCTTCACTTTGCTTCAAAGCACCAAATATCCTTGACTGGATACAAAAAACTCCCCCACAAACAGTTATGAAAAGGAGGAAATGACGTTTAAACTAAAAATGCCTATAAAATATAAAGAGTAAAAACAACACAAACCACACTGAAGCAATTAAGGGAACCAGGCAAGATAAGGGCTTGAAGATGTCTGGAATACACACTGGGAAGGATGCCAAACTCAGAGAGGAACGACAGACTAGAGATATTTCCAAGCTTTGTTTCCAGCACTGGCCCATACGCATGTCCGTCCTTTTAACCAGTCTTCACAGCTGCAGCCCATGAAAAGGATCAAGGCCCTTTCCTCCCCCGTAGACCACTCCATTCATGTCTCTCCCTTATCCTCTCCTCCCTGCGTGCCCTAGGATGGAGAGGGGATGGGCCTGGGTCCTCCTCTGACTGCTCAGCCGGCCTCTGCCCTTCCCCAGCCTCCTCCACAACATCCAGAGCCACACTTCCACTCCCTGTGGGCTCCTCCTCCTCTCCCTCAGAGTCAGTCTCCACCAGGGGCATGACAGACTATTTGAAGTTACAACCACACTGAAAAAAGTGACTTATGACCGTTTTTCATACTTACGACCGTTGCAGCATCCCCAAGGTCAGGTGATTTAAATTCAAAAGCTTGGCAACTGGCATGTACTTATGACGGTTGCAGTGTCCCTGGGTCATGGGATCCCCTTTTGCAACCTTCCAACAAACCAAGTCAATGGGGAAGTCAGGTTCGTTTAACAACCGGGTGACTAACTTAACAACGGTAGTGATTCGCTTAACAAAAGTTGTAAAATGGGGCAAGACTGATTTAACAAATTTCTCACTGAACAACATAAATTTTGGTCTCAGTTTTGGTCGTACGTGAATGACTATCCATACCGCATCTTTCAGCTAATTATCTGATCATCATCTTCATTTAACGACCCCATAATCCTTTGCAAGGTGGAGTCTGGGCAGCTGAATGGAGCTGAGTAATTACTGGCCGGATGCCCTTCCTGTTGCCAGGGCAGAGTTTTGTTCAGCAGATATATTCTCAGTGTGCACAGAGAGAGAAATATCTGCCTCTACCTAGGATCGAACTGATAGCCTTCAGATCGTGAGGCGAGGGCTCCACCTCTAGGCCACCACACCGCTCCCAGCTAATTATCTGATAGGCTCACTGAAATGCTATCGGGATATTGTTTATAGACTTCCTGACCGCAAAAGGAAAGGATCTTAAATCCGCATTACCGCTGACTTAAAAAATAAATAAAAATAAAGGTTAAGGATCTGAGAAAAATAAATAAGTTATTGTAGCAAGGACACCACACGGAAACCACGGGAATTCTGAACCAACAGGAACAGAGACTGTCATCCCAAAATTGATAGGCCTCGCTTAATGAATTTGCATCGCCTCCTGGAGTTAATCTGTCTTTGTCCTTTGAACAGGTTAATACCCGAATCGTATTGCAAACTCGAGTTTGAGCAGAATTTCAAACAGGCTGCAATGCAATATATTCCAGAATAATACATGTAAAAACCCCTCAGGACTCAAAGGCTATTTTTCCGGCTCTCGGCTCATGCAAATCGAGAAACTCTACCTTCAGTTTCATTCTTTAAAAAAAGCAAAATACGAACATAAATATGGATTTATGGAACTCTGTTGTTTTTCAAAGCAAGCAGAGTTAAGCACTCGGGCCCAGTGGGCAAATATGGTTCCTCGGTATAAGCATAGAGAACTTTTACAAAGTGATGATCTCATGCTTAATACAGGTAGTCCTCCCTCCCTCCCTCGTTCGTTCGTTCCTTCCTTCCTCCCTCCCTCCATCTTCCTCCCTTCTTTCCTCCCTCCCTCCTTCCTTCTTGTCATTCCTTCTCCCCTACTCCC